GGGGGCCACCCCCCCCCCCCCCCCCGACTTTGCATAGAAATAATATTTTTTTATTCTGTGATCTGTATATTCTATCCCCCTAATCTTCACTGAAAGCTTTCTGCATTTCTACATTTAAAAAAAAAAGAGTATTAGTATGATTTGTAAGCTGGTTTCCTCACGGGGACCAAATAAATGTCCTGAAACTTTGGTCCCCACAACAGAGGGTTTACCTGGACCATACAAACACGCACAACACACAGTAGCACAGGCATCTTGAAATGATGAATGCTATCCACACTTAATATAGCATAAATACAGCTGACCTAGAAAGTTTTCGGATAATATAGTCATACTTAAATTATTATAGGAGTGCGTTTTACAAGAAAATAAAATTTCAGCCTTACTTCTTCACAATTTTATGTGTAATTCAATGTGTTACAGTTTCTTTGTAATTATTTGTGAAAACTGCTAGAGTGAAAATTGTTTCAGAATAAATCCAACACCAAATTTTTTTCAATGTATAAATGTCATTACCTAACAACCTGTCAAACCAAGCAGCGTTCATTTTAAAGATGCTTTTTGATCAGATTATGATCAGGGGTTTCGGGTTCGACTGTATTTGCATTTTGGCACACAGCTCGCAGAGGGCCTGTAAATCTGTTAACAATATAATTTGCTGTGTTATTTTTCCACAGATATCATTCTGTGTTCCTGTAAATAAAGGAGTGTACATGCATACATTAGTATGTGTGTGCGTGTAAAACACCTGCCAGGTGTGTCAACCATTAAATAATGCATGCCGCACCCATAGAAATGAATACATAGTTCTGCATATTGCAGATGATATCAAAAACAAAAATAAAGTATAGATCTCTTTCTTTGAGAAAATCTGATTGCATGCTATAAAGGGGTCTTCATTTGAGATTTTTCTTTCCTATTGGAGGATAAAAATCGTGCGTGTGTGTGTGAGTGTTCTGCACATTTTTAATGGTGGCATCGTCACACTAATGCTATTATCAGTCATTTTGCTATCAGTGCATCATATGAATGTTTCTTCAAAGCAACGCTAACAGCTAGTGGCAGTTTTCGTCACTGCTGACGCTAATTATGAATGGAGCCAATATTGGAAGGCAAATGATTGGAATGCTTTTGAAAAATGAACAGACGATTCATTACAGTGGAAATGCATGCAGTGCAGATTTAACCATTGGATGGGCGCATTGCTGCTTTAGCATGCATGTAATGAATCCTTGCTGATACTAGAGCTCCAGCTACAAAAAAAGTGTCTTTGAGGATGTAACAGTTAGTTCTGTCCTCTCATTATCTTCACCTCCCGGTCATATTTTCCTTTCTTTGAGGGATAAACGCAACAAATGCTGACAAAAGAGGCATGGAGTATCTACACCCCTGCACAAGTCACACACATCTTACAGGCTCAGCTTGTGTTTGTGAACTTTCTTGTTTATTCTTTCACCCAAGCAGACACCATTAGTAGCTTTAAAGAGTAATTTAATAAAGTAGCATAATAAAGTACCTCACAGTTCATGATAAACGTCTGAGAGGCATTGAGTAGGAGAGAGAGACAGAAAGGCGAGGGAGGAGTGTTACGGGAATATTATAGTGAATCATCTGTTTATTTTTCTGCCATTTTTAACAGTGAGGAAAATTCTGCAAATAGCCTAATTGAAGAAGCGAGATGTGCCCAGACGTCCAGTAACACACACACATGCCGAGCTTGTTGGAAAAAGGAGATTTTCTCTTTGTCAGAGTGTAGTGTTTCAGCATTTGAAATGGGTCATATCATGAGGAATCAATTTATCCTTGATCTTTTGAGATGAAAGACTTCATTGTGCCATGAAAAATGTAACTTTTCAAGCTCAATATTTTCTGCTAGCATGTCTTGCTTCCGCACTTCCACAGCTTTCTGACGTCAGACAGATACGTTTGACCATGACTGCCGTACGTTAATGATTTTGGTTTGATTTTCAGAAACTTGACCCATCCACTGATGGCAAGATAATAAAGAGGAAGTAGAATATATTCTATTATTTATAAATATGGGAAGATCTAAAGATAAGATTCAATTTAGGAAAGTCTGTGAAACTCTGCAGATCATTCTGTAGAATCCCAATATTAGAAATGAGCGTCTGAATTTATTTTTAATGAAATCACTGCTCTTTCCAGACTGATCTGAACAGTTTAAATAACACATTTCAGTGGGGATTGTCTTGCAAGCAAAAGCGGTAAAATGTTGTTTGTTATTTCACATGTGCAGAGGACTTTTACATGGAAGTTTAAGACACAAAGATAAAGCAGATGTATAATGGTCAAGGCTAAATTAATTTTATGTATATATAAAATTATAAAATTATATAATAAATTATATAAATAAAAATAAATTACAATATATGTAATGTACTTTATTTATGTAATATATTTTAATGTATTTAATTGTTTTACTTTTTTGCATATAAATCATTATATATATTATATATATATTACATATATTTAAAATATTATATATAATTATATATTGTTATTTAAAAATATAAATAAATGATATTTATATAATGTATTTTGAAATGTATATTATTATATATATATATTATATATATATATATATACACACACACACATTAGAATTTTAAAATAAATAACAATAAATTATATAGGCAAGGCAAAAATTTGAATAAGAAATTATAATTAGACTATACATATAAACTTTATATCTACATTATGTCCTCATTTAGATGGCAAAGTAAACATTTGAGTGTGTGAGCTATAAGACTGAAACCTATTCTACATGACAGATATATCTCAGTTCTCACACTCCTGCAAGCTGCAGTTGCGTCAAATCCTGTTACACACACATATACGCGTAGGCGCTTGCGTTTTGAAGTCAAGGGTCTCTTCCTGCCCTTTAACACCTCTAGCAGTTCTCATCGGAACACTTCTGCCCCTTTCTCTGTCATCTCCTCCCTAATTTCCACTCCATCTTCCAGAATAATCTCAAATAAAGCCTTCAGACAGTCAGTCTCTGCTGAGAGCTGCCCGTTTAAAGAGCCGGGTGAAATTCTTCATGCTGAAGCTCAGTTGCGTTTGAATTTCATTAGTTTGGCACGGGAATGCGCTCCTAAATCATGCTCTTTACACAAAGTGCACTCTTTCTTTTGTCCTATAAACTCCAGCCGTTCGATTTCAGCACCTTCCAGCTGCGTACAGCCAGCAGAGAGCAGGACACCTCCGTCAGATGCATGTTTGTTCGAAGACACGATGTGCATACAAGTCGAGCACATGTCGCATCATCTGGGTCAGAAGGGTTTCTTGGTTTAAGTTGCAAGTAGGTCAACCAAAACCAACCAAACACCAAACCACACATAGGCAGGTGCATATATGCATACAATAGCACTGTCCCTCAAAGGTTTAGATACACATACTCATTCTACACAACTTAGAGAAAGAGTAAAGTCATCAAAATTAGGAAATAACACAGTATGAGAATTATGTAGTGAATTATATGTGATTCATTTTTGTGAAACAAATGAATACTCCTATTTTTGAGC